ATACAGTTCCTCATGTGGTGAGCTCCAACCATAAAATTACCTCATTGGTACTTCATAAATATAATTTTGCTACTGTTATGAATTATAATATAAATACCTGATATACAGGATAGCTGATCTGCAACCCCTGTGAAAAGGTAGTTCGAATCCCCCCAAAGGGGTCATGACCCACAGGTTGAGAACTGTTTGGACCCTTAGCAGACAGGTGAGCACTGGCAAAGGGCTTGTGGGGAATGTGAAGATAAGGAGACTCAGAGCAGGAAGGAAAGGTCTACAAAGTGTCATGAAAATGGATCTCTCATCTCAGTAAAGGACTTGAACCCCAAAGCTAGGGAAGGGGCAATGGGGAAAGAGGAGGCTCCCTCCTGGCTTTCTGATGACAGCAATGGGGAAAAGTGGTACCCACAAGAAGCAAGACGCCCTTCCTTTCCCCTGAAAGCCAGAAATCTGAGGACATTTTCCATTCTTTCTCTCCAAATCCCTTTCCTCCCCATCCTGAGCATCCAGCACCCCTGTGTCTGTCTGTCTGGCTCACATCTCCCAATCTCCCCTGCTTTCTCCTCCCTCTCCTGAGTGTCCAGCACTGTGTCTGTCTGTCTGGCTCACATCTCAGTCCCCCCTGCTTTCTCCTCCCTCTCCTGAGTGTCCAGCACTCCTGTGTCTGTCTGTCTCACATCTCCCAGTTCCCCCTACTTTCTCCTGTGACAGGGCAGGTCCTGGGACAAAGTCAGGCGAAGCAGTTACTACACTAAGTTAGAGATATTTGGGCAAAATGAGCAAAGGAATACAAGTTCAGACCCAAGCAGGAAAGCCACCTGTCTGTCAGAGACGTCGGCAAGACCGAGAACTGTCCTGTCTTTAGAAACTTTAAGGTCAGAAAGTTGACCTAGGATGGGGTCTCTCGGATAATCACATAATTTTTACCATATGCTTATACTACCTGTGCCCTGTTATCTCTTTAATATTTTATATTAACAATTGTACTTTTCACATAAAATACTTGCTTTATACTTATACAAGAAATAATTCTACTACCTCACATGATTGTGTGCTAGGATTTCCCCCCCAATTCATGTGAAGGAAAAGAAAAAAATAAGTTGTAAAATAAATGGTCCATGTACCAACTAAAATCATCTCTAGTGTCCCCCAGAGATATGCAGGCTGCATTTGGCAAACTTCGTGTGCATAAAGAGCTCAACCCTGATCTGCTGGACATGAGACAGGGTTGGCATCCTTCTGGCCATGTGCATCCACGACTTAGGAAAGGACATGAAGGCATCCTTTAATCTTCTACCCAGATCACAAGTGTCTCAACCCAACCCTGACTCTGTTTCTCCCAAAGAGGCTTTCTCAGCTCATTTACCCTTGAGGATCCCACAGGCTCTATTGGTCAGAAAAGCATCCCATGGGAGGCAGGGGTAGCTTCCTCCTCCTGTGCGAATACCCCAGCCAGGATGGAACACTCCTCTCACGGTCTCAAAGCACGCCTGCCCTGGCTTACCTGGAGGCTGGCCGTCTGGCTGGGACACTACAGCCGTGCCCTCCCATCTCTCCTTCGCTCGGCCGGTCACTTCCTTATTGAGTTTTTCCCTCAGACGCCAAAATTCACGAAAGCTTCTGGCTGTCTGCTCCCTTTGGCTTCTCAGCAGGGACTCCAGACGTCGGAGAGTCTGAGCTGAAATTCCCTTTGTGCCCTAGAGGAGACAAAAGTTCACCTTTGCATACACAGGCTCCCTCCTTCCCTTTCCTAAAGCTGCTGACATGGGGGTGCTCTGACTGGAGCCTATTGTGTTGGAGGGGGTGACTGGGGAACAGAGAGGGTGGGCTGCACATTGCAGCCAGTGTGTGAATTCAGGGTTTAGGAACTCTATCACAAGGCACAACACAGCATTAGGCGAAGGGCTACATCACAAGTCAACCCACATCACACCAAAAGGGACGTGGATGGGGACGCACTTTCCCAACATCCTACTGAATGACCAGGTGAGAGCACAGCCTACGTCATCTTGCACCTCCTGGCACTACCATGTTCTCCCTGATTAACAGTGTTTGGAAAACTGAACTTCCAAACCAATGCATACTACTAGAAGTTCCTTGGGCTTCTGCCCCCCACCCAGAGCCCAGGAAAGGGTTTGGGAGGCATCCTAATGCTAGACGAAGGTTTACCAAAATGAGACATTTTTAAGTCAAAACTGAACACAGGACCGGGATAGGCTAGCAGCTGAAGACAGGCCAATCTCGATGAGAATTTTTATAAAACTCAACCTAGCTGTCTGAGTTTGTTTTGTTTGTTTTTCTAATCTTACTCACTGAAATGCAAATAGTATGTTCAATGCTATGATGCTTGGCTACTTTGATAACATGATGTGCCTTTATTTACTAATAGATGCATTCAGGCTCCATCTGTGCACATCTGGGCACAGCCACATGTTCCATACATAGATAGTGGACTTAGAGAGAGAGGTTTATACAATAGGGACTAGCCCATAGACCAGACTCAGCCAGCTAAATGCCCTCTGTTGGAGATTTGGTTAGAGACATGGAGGGGGGGGAGTAACCAATGAGCGGGGAACACTGAGAGAGTCAAGATGAGGACTTGGAGGAAAGCAGAGACCTCTCTTCTGCCGGGAGGTGACAGAAGCTGTCCCCAGAGAGCAACAAGCACAGGAGGAAATGAATGAGTCTGCAAGGTACAGAACGAACAATCGCCTCTCTGGGCGAGAACACTTTTTGTCTTCATTATAGGGCTCAGCCTATAAACAGTACCCCTTAGCCTGGTGTAGTGGCACAATATGTTAAGTCCAGCACCCTGGAGGCTGAGGCAGTAGGATTGGTATGAGGTCAAGGCCAGCCCGAGCTGCACAGCAAGACCCTGTCTTTAAACTCATAATCAAATGATAACTCAACAGTGGCCCAGGAACCGACCCTCTTTATCCCCATGCCTTCCAGCTTCTCTTCCAGGGTGTCCTCCAGGATGGGCCGGAACTGCTTCAGCCAAGTGGGGTTTTGCCTCAGAGCTGCTAACACCACCTTCCGCTGCTCATCACGGGACTCCTGCAGCTCTGCAGGGGGAGACAGTAAGCAAGGTCAGTGCTCCCCCCAATCCAGCCATCCCTGTACCTGCCAGTGACCTGAGAGCCATGCTGTACCTGCCAGTGACCCCAGTCCAAAGCAGGCCACTCCCACATGTCCACCCCTGGGCCAGAAGATGACACATTTTTCCTTGTTTGTCACTGTCTCAGACACGCCACCCAGCTTCTACTCCCCCATCCCCTGCCAGCCTAGACCTCCCAGATCTGGGCTCAGTCAGTCCTGAAGTCAACCCATTGCTTTTGGAATTGGAATTAAACTTTGGAAACAACTTGTTCCCTGGACTCCATGCTGGTCTCGGATTCCAGACCAGCTCCAGCCTTAGCCCAGCCTCCACCTGATACCCTCTCCCACCACTGAACTCTCCTACCACTGAATCTGGTTCTGTTCTAACCCAGATTAAAGAGCAGACAAGATCATCCCTCCAAGTTTCCTCTCTAGGCCCCTTGTCAGTCCTGTTACTTTGGGTCCTTCATGATCTACCTACAGCTCCTTCACATGGAGAAGAGCAGCAGAGACCATCGGAAGGCCAGTGCAGTGAGCTCCCCTCCAGGGACCAGCACCAGGTGAGAGGCAGTGGAGCAGGCACAGGGGCAGGACCTGAGTCAGAAGCCAGGCAGGCACTGGCTCGGCCTCCTGTAGCCTTGTGACTCAGTGCCCCTGCAGACTGCATGTTAGCGCCTTTAAACAAGATACCTGGTGCACACGCAGTGCTTAAGAAATATCTATCGTGTGTCCTTAGTTCCTTCCAACATAACTTCATGTAGCCAGATTATGGTTAAAGGGAAAATAAAAAGAGAGGAGAGTAGCCAGTCTGCTTTCTGCAGTGATGGAGGGAGAGAGAGAGAGAGAGAGAGAGAGAGAGAGAGAGAGAGAGAGAGAGAGAGAGAGAGAAAGAGAGAGACACCCACCTTCCTCAGAAGAGTCCTCCTCCTCTGTGTCCACAACAGCCTTGGGCAACTCTTGGACTTCTGAGAAGACAGAACAATTAGTGGCACCAGAACCCTGCAGGCCACCCCTGACTCAAAGAAAGGTACAGTACCCCAGGGGAGTACTGGCCTGTGAGGGCAAGCCCTCCATAGACTCGTCCTTCCCAGAAGGGCAGGGTGGAAGAAATGGTCACAAACACAGACCCTGGAGGCAGGAACATCAGACTCACAGGCCAGTTCTGCCTCCAATAGCTGTGCATGAGCTGACAAGTCTCTGAACCTCACTAAGCCTCGGTTTTCTTATGTGAAAAACAGAGTGATGATACCCATCCCACATTAAATAACAACATAATGAGATGATGAACCGTAAGTATGCGGCATGGCACACAGTCATTATTAATGGCGTGCCAGACATGGTGAGTTAGAAAGACTACTCAAGGGCCCAATTCTATCAACACCATACCCAAGACCCTCACTCCTTCCCTCCCGCTAGAGAAAAACCAAGCCAGGCATGAGTCTCTGGCAGCTGATGGAACGCCTTCAGCACAGATGCCCTCTCTCCCATAGGCCCTCTTCCTTATCCAGTTGGACAGCCTGACATCACAGTGCATGTCCCATGGACTGCTATCACCAGTCTTCTACCCATAAATCACCTGGGGGATGAAAGACAAAGAGCCCAGGACAACCCCAAAGACAGATCCTAACCACCCACTGCAGACTTACCCTCCGTCTTCCTGAGGGACAAAGTCTGGATCTGCAAAAGGTGGGAGAGAGCAGGTTACAGCCAGCAGAGGACACTGGAGGGACTCTGCTCTGAGCATCAGACCTGCTCAGAACAGGGAAGGGTGTGCAGCCACGGTTGGCATGGAACTAGAATGGCTCACTACCTGGCCCCAAGCACATCTCATCTCCCACCGTGCATTGTGGAAAGACACCACACCAGGAAGAGCAGTTGCTAGGAGTCCTGGATGACAGCCTGCTCAGCTTTCTCAGGGATGGGATACCAGAACGCTGTCTTCAGAGGGCTATTCCCTCAGGGCAGGAACCCATGGAAGCAGAATGGGACAGGAATACAGTTGGTATGGAGATAAAATTGATGTAAAACAGCCAGGAAAAGAAATTCTAGCCAGGGGTGCAACCAGCTGAGCTGAGGGCTCATGGGAACACAGAGGCCGGACAGCATCCCTGCCCGGAGGCCTGACCCAGGCACTGGCAAATCTGCTCAGCATCCCTTTCCCAACAAGGGCCTTTCCCTCCTCATTCACAGGTTGCAGACTGAGCAGCCGAATGTGGTCCACATGACCTCAGACCACAGTAACAGCTGCCTGTCCATGTTTGGATGGAGAGTTCTGAACCAGCAAAGGGTCAAGAGCGCTAGTGGCCAACTGTTTTTGGTTTTCCTGGTTTGTCTGTGTTGTCACATGGGACCAGCAAGAAGCACGTTGGCTTCTGAATAAAGGAAACACTTTCAGAAGAGAGAAACGCTAAGGAGGAAAACTATTGTCCACACTCAAGTCCCGGTTCCATTTCCTTCACAAACTCAGCTGCTTCTCCGCCTTGGGCTATGAGACACCGTTTACCGATGTGGTGAACCCTCTCTTCCGCTCCAGCTTGGGTTTCTAGCACCTGCTGCATCGTGCACTGCTGTAGTTCTCATCCAATACTGATCCCCAACTGCTTCTCCTCACCTGCCTACTCCAGCAACCGGAAAAACAATTATGTGGAGCCGGAGAGATGAAGGAGCAGTTAAGAGCACTTGCCGTTCTTGCAAAGGGCCCAGATTCAGTTCCCAGCAGCCTCTGGCTCACAACCTTCTATAATTCCAGGAACAGGGAACCCCTACCCCCAGCCTCTTCTGACCTTCAAGGACACCAGACACAAACGGTACAATACACACACACAGGCAAAACATCGTTCACATAAAATAAAATCTTTTTTTTTTTTTAATGAAGAATCCTTCTTAAAAACTATGCTCTTGGGGCTGGAGAGATGGCTCAGAGGTTAAGAGCACTGACTGTTCTTCCAGAGGTCCTGAGTTCAATTCCCAGCAACCACATGACGGCTCACAACCATCCATAATGAGATCTGGTGCCCTCTTCTGGAGTACAGGCTGAACACTCACTGTATACATAATAAATAAATAAATCTTTAAAAAAAAAAAAAAAAACTATGCTCTTTCCCAGTTTCTTTAAAGTTATATTTGCTCACTGACACAGCTTTAAGCGATATGTCTCCAAAGCCTGGGGCTGGTGAGATGGCTCAGCAGATAAAGGCGCTGCTGCCCAAGCCTGGTGACCTGCATCAGATTCGTGAATCTACATGAAGGTATAAGGAAGAATGGACTTCACTGGGCCGCCCTCTGAGCTCTGCATGTATGCTGGAGTGTACGTGTGCTCTCTCTCTCTCTCTCTCTCACACACACACACACACACACACACACACACACACACACACACAGAATAAATAATTCTTTTGAAATGTCTTGGGAAGGGGCCTTTTTATCAACTTCATCCATCAAATATGACTGTGATGGTTGGGGCTTCCACACTATCTTGTAGCTGCTCCTGTAAGTGACCCCTCTCCCATATTCCTATAAGTAACCCTAATAGAACGCACAGATCACCAAGTTGGACTTGGGCGGTATCTGTACTTTGGTCTGTCATAGGTTCCCGATCTGGGGTGAGTAGATGTGCGTGCTGTGTCACCCAGGCAAAGTTTTGTCACATGGCAGGTGGGCACAGTGACTGACATAATGTGCTAGAAAGCAGAAAAGTACAGCTAACAAGGGGCAGAGGACAGGAGGAAGGGATTGGGCAGTGGCGATAACTCCAGGGCTCTGTGGAAAACAGGAACCTGAGGCCCCAGGTAGGGCTTAGAGGAGAGAAGGGCAGCTTTCCCACAGACCTGGACTTCCAAAGGGGAGCCAAGTACAGGCTGGGTGTGGGGGAGAATTACCAAGAACAGGTGAAGAGCCACAGGACCCAGCTTTAGTAGGTGCTCAGAGACCCAGCAACTTTTACCTCGCTGGCTTATTAGAAAGCCTCATCCGAAGCTGTTCCTTTACAGAAAGCGGGCTGGCTAGTAAGTTACAACTGTGAATATACTATAACGAGCACAGCTGTGTCCCAGCAGCCCAGCTAGAGTCAGATGTCACCCGCCACTTACAGAAAACCCTGTGCCGATTTCATCATCCATCAAATAAAGGTGGGGAGAAAGTGGGGTCTATCATGAAGGGCTGTTTGAGGTTTCAATGAGGTGACATGCAAAGCGCCAACCTGGCATCTTATGTGGTCTCTGGTGACAGAGTGAGACATTTGCCACTGCGAGGGAGGTGGCTGTAGCCTCATAACCTTGTGCCCCTCTTCATTCCCCTTCAGGAGCTTAATGACGCCAACAGTATGAACTCAGAAGGATCCAAAGTCATCCTCACAGAGAAGAGGCCGGGCAGCTGTGGGCAGTGACTAGGGAAAGGACCGACCTACCGTCTCCTCTTGGGACGCGATAAGCCTGGCTTGTTCTTGAAGCTGGGCACGGAGGGCGTTGATATGGCGTTGAGACTGGGCAGCTGCCTTCTTCTGATCCTGAGACAGGGTGGCATGGAGCCTCTCATTCTCTTCCCGCATCTGGTGGGCATAGGAAGGTTGGGCAGTCAGATGTCTGTATGAACCCAAGTACCCCAAGTGAGAAGGGCGGAGTCCCTACGGCCAAATGTTGGTGGCGGGTCTCGCCTAAGGCCAAACTAGATTTCTAGACTGTGCAGATGGCTTTCAAACAATTGTAGCTGCCTTCCAGTTTAGGTACATTTTTTAGCTGTGCCAGAGAAGAAATGAGAAGAGAAAATGGAATGTAGACCTCAAGGATCATGGAATGCCAGGCGGTGGTGGCCCATGCCTTTAATCCCAGCACTTGGGAGGCAGAGGCAGGTGGAGCTCTGTGAGTTCGAGGCCAGCCTGGGCTACAGAGCAAGATCCAGAACAGGCACCAAAACTACACAGAGAAACCCTGTCTCAAAAAACAACAACAACAAAAAGGATCATGGAAGAAGGTTCTCTGTCAGATGTAGTCACCTACTGAGGACATGCAGGTAAGAAAAAAGACCACTCAAAAATCATCAAATTTCTTTTCAGATAAAAACAAGAAGTGAGGAAAATGTGTTGCCATGCCACCTCTGACAGGGGGAGCAGAGGTAAAGGAGGTTATTTATTAGTATTTGCGTAAAAGAACTCTAGAGAATGAAATAAAACCATCACATGGGAACTGGGTCACCCTGCAAGGCAGTGGGAGCAAGTGTCCCCCATAGGCCAAGCTCTGCCACGACTCATGGCATCTCCAGGGCCACGGCCAGCAGAACCTGAGAAAGTTAACTCACTTCCTCCTCAATCTACAAAGAAGGTAGGTTGCGATCTGTGCTCGGGGCTCAGTATGTGAGCCCTTCACTAGTCTCCCTCTGAAATATCACCGGGCTCTGCTCTACCTGGTTCTCCCTGGAGGTGGAGGTTTTCTAAGAGTCCACACATGAGTGATGTGACTGATAACTCATCAGAGTCTCAGAACACAAGAGGGCTTGAAATTTAGTATAGGATGCATGGGATTCGGAACATGGCTGAGGGTGCCCGCTCCTGGCTAAAGAATCTGCCCAATAGGCAGATGACTCCATCTGTATATTAAAGGGGACTGGCAGCCATGCCCACTATCTGCAACAATACACCTGACAACCAGTTCTAGAGAATGCGAGGGGGAGGGGATGCTGCATAGAGAGAGGTCATGGGACACCAAACCCTCTGGCTACCAAACAACAGCTACCTCTCTCCTCTCGGCTGCTCGCTCTTCGTGGAGTGCCTTCATCTTTCTCTTCCATTCTGTTTTCTGAAAAAGA